ACTGTAAAGTAATTTGTATTTAGTTGAACTATTGTTTTTGAATAAAAGTTTTAATATAAGATCTCCATGCCTAACTAATTATTACTCACAGCCTCCGTGCGAAGCATAAACATCATCACAAACCAAGTTGTTCTATTTTCTCTATGGTTGTAGGCATTTGGAATACCACGTGATACAAAGCTTACGCATTGGTAGTTTGACAGATGACGACTTTCTTTTCTACAGTTAAAGAATTCCAGTAGATAAAAAATATATTGGCCTATTACAAGCTCAAGAAACCCCGTTTTTGTATAGCACACATTAATTTAACAAGTTTGTATTCTAAAATTATAACACTGTATAGTGGTATCATTTTTTCTGTGAACGTCATCCTCACCAACCACGTGCGTTTTGTGTCGACGTTCGTGAAGCTATTCACGTGACCTCGAGGACAGAAACAAAACATAATCGTTTGTTTTTGTTATGAGCGAAGCTGGTTCTAAAAAGCCTCAAAATTGTTTGTGAATGAACCTAATATGAAAAAAATTATTATTGCCAAATAGATAGGTCTCGATGCTACTTATTCACAATCAGTGTCTCCGGTCTGTGGCCAAACATTGACAGCAATATAGGCCTATATAGACAGTTCACAATATACAGGTTTGGACTTTCGAAATCGCGAGTATGGCTTTTTAACAGAGTAAAGTCGAGCTGCGCTAATTATAGGCCTTGGTTATTATAAGAATTATCGTCGCCATAATCATGAAGCAGAATGCTATCCGCTTGAAAAATCGAAAAAGTATAAGGACAATTTTTGAAATTAGGTTCATGTTTCGCGCGAATTCCATGTGTTTATGCTAGGTTGTGATTTACCGTTCCGCCATCAAAATGCGATCGCCTCAACTTCCTGTCCTGCAATTCATCGACCCGGCCCAAAAGAAGAAGTGTGAACGACCGTAAGGCGGCCTGGGCCGACTTAAAACAACTTAAAACAATAACTGTGAACGGAAATGATGTTGAGTCGGCCCTAAGTCAGCCCATGCTGCATTTCTGGCTATTAACAGAACTGGTCCATGGCACCCGGCTTTTGGAAAAAAAAACCCGGGTTATATCCTGCTGGTTTGTTGAATAGCGAAGAGTTCTTAAATTATTTATTGCCACTGAAGCCCATGAGATGAAGTGAGTGATTGTTGTTTACATTCCAATGGCTATATGTTGCTGGCAGGACTCTTTTGTTAACTCCCAATGGAATTCTTAAAACCAATTAAAGTTAAGTTTATTGAGCTGCTAACAGCTCCCTCTGGACCATTTGACAGCTCACTCTCAACTATCAGACAGCTCACTATGGACCATTTCTGCTAACGGGGACTTTTGCCTCATGGCGTAATTTAAGGCGAACCTGGGCCGGCCTAATAAGTGTGATTGGGCTCGAGCCCAGTCACACTTGAAAGTTACTTGTAAGATGTTGTAACAGAGATGTTTAGTGATAATATCATAAACTGGGGCCGTATAATTATGGTTTTTGTGTTTACGTGATTTTTTTGTGATTACGCAACATCGTAATCAGTATCGTGGTTGTCGTCATTCCACGTATTCATCATGTTACCGATGAATTTATTTAAAATGATAACAAAAGTGAAAGTGAAGAACAATCCGACGTAATTCATAAGAAAATAAATGTACAGTAGTGATCGCTGCTTCACAACAGCTACCACCCATCTTAAATTATATGATTTGTTAGGTAAGTTAGATGATCGTGTTCTATATTATGGATCAGATTCCTGCGTTTTCATTACTAGCAATATACTAACCCAGTAGATATTCAACCTCCTACTGGAGGTTATTTAGAGGGCACTGACAAATGAGATAGACCCAAAGACGGTAAATTTATTTCTTGTTTTGTATCTGATAACCCTAAAAAATTATTGTTATAAAATATACTCGGGTAAAACTGTTTGCACAGTAAAGGTTTCACATTCAATTTTAAAAATTCACAGAAGATATATTTCGGAACTGTTACCAATATGATTAAAGACACTGACCCAGAGAAAAATACTACATCTAACTCTAATTGGATAACCAAGAAGCCTAAATCAAGAAAAATTCTAAATGAAACCACAACTAAAGATTATAGAATAGTATGATAAGAGAATAATTATTGATGAATTTAAAACTGTATATGGATATGTTTAGTAATACTTTTCACTTTATCTAATAATATTGAAAGTATTTTTTATCTATATTGATAAATTATTGTACTTGACGAAAATTAAAATTGTTTGTGTAAACTTTGAATATATATATATATATATAATGTAAATTATTGTAATTATTTTTGTATATATTGTAAATCATTGTTATTACTTTTGTAAATATAAGACAAATATTGTATTTTTGTAATGTCTAAATATATTATTGTATACTTTGTAAATTAATGTTATTACTTTTGCAAATATAAAGAGAAATATATTATTTCTGTACTCTACTGTATAATGATATGACAGGTTGATGAAATTTGCTTTGCTTCTCGATGAAACAGAAATATAAATCTTTCTCATTATTTGAAATGATTTGTTTGCCGATCGTGGAACAGATACACACAATACTTTACATACAATTTATTTTCTTGACACGAATTTTATTTTCTTTATATAAAACTTATTATCTTGACAGGAATAATATTTTCTTTACATAAAATTTATTTTCTTGACACAAATTGTTTGTTTAGTACATTTTTATTTGTTAATGTATATGATTTTACATTGTTTTTTTTTTACATAAAACGTATTTGCTTTACACGATTTTAATTTCCTTTACATAAACATTCATTTACTTTACATAAAATTTATTTTCTGGACACGAAATGTATTTTCTTTACATGAAATTTATTTTCTTGACACGAATTTTATTTTCCTTACATAATATTAATTTATTTTTTAACATTTATTTAAAATTATATTTTCTTTAAACGAATTGCTTATAAGTGTTATTTACTTTATTTCAATTTTAATTTTTAATTTTAATATTTTTGATGTATTTTAACAAACTCCAATGTGTCCAATGTTAATTTAGATTAATTTTTTCATCTTATTTGTGAAGAAGTCTCTATAAACATTTACTAATATAAAATTTTGTAAATATAAGAGAAATATTTCATTTTTATCTTTTCAAAGGGTTTGTTTTATAGTATATTTGATGTTTAGTTCCTTTGTACCTTAATGTCTTGCGTTTGACAATTGCATAAACCGTTTATTTCATATTTTTGCAGGAATCAATGTGATATTTATTAATTCAGTGATTAGAGTTTAACTAGGTTTATATTTTACAGTTTTTACAATTCCTTATTTCCGCATTTCAAAACAATACGTTTTTTAAAAGTAACAAAATAATCGGCTATGTAACAGCATTTATCATAGCATTGTTTACTAACTCTTTGATATGGAAAATTTTATTTTTCTATACCGACAGAATTTTGAATATAACTACCGTATGTTTCCTTAAAGTATTTTGAGTTTCTTTTTTCTAATTATTATATTTGTTTTGATTATTTTTGTTATATTCTTTCTGTTTTGATTGTATCCGAGGATATCATAGACCTTACTACATATTTAAAAATGTTATAATAGGTCTTATGAATACATTTAGTTTTTGCGGTATAATAACTCGCTTTTAATTTTTGCATTCATCATCGTCATCATCATCATCATCATCATTACCATCACCATTATGGTCGTCAACTTCGCCAATATCATCACCATCACTATGTCTGTCAATATAATCATAATCACTACCATAGTCACAATCATCACCCTTTGTAGTATCATAATCACCTCCACCATCATACTCACTTTGATTTCCATTATCACTACCATAGTCACTATCATCAACATTCATCTAATAGATGTCTTCGCCAACATCATTACCATCACTATGGTTATCAAAATAATCATAATCACTACCATAGTTACTATCAACAACATTTGTAGCATCCTAATAACATATACCATTATCCTCACTTTGATTATAATCATCAATATCATAGTCACTATCATCAATATCCATCATAGTTATCATCTTCGTTATTATTATCATCACCAACAGCAGCATCCTCATTATTACCACTGATACTTCGCATAATCCATCAATATATTTTGTTTATTATTTTCTGAACATCATCATCATCAACAGTATCATCATCATCCTCATCATTAACGTCATCATGGTCGTCTTCACCATTGTAACCAGTTTAAATTATGATTCTACCCCTCTGAAACTATCAGAATTTTCGGGCCGTAGTATATCTATAACTTATTATCAGTTTTTGTTCCTGTTGTTGTTATGTATATGCTCCACTGCCAGCATACAATATCAATTCAAATAATGAGAGAGAGAGTCATACAATTTTGTTTAAGCAATAAGCAAAAATAGATTTTCATTTATTTTTGTTTCTAGCAAACTAATGATATACATATCATCATAGAAATTACATTCATTTACTAATTCATGAATTAAGTGTTAGATTAGCAAACGGTCTTCAAATAATTACTTCAATACCTTCGCTTTAGTATGGTCGATTTAGTTTCCTTAACAAGATCACTAGTTAATTTCCCTCTCCTCGAGACTATGTCAGGTAAGATTCCGTTTTTTGTGTAGGTACCGGAGTACGAAGTAGCTGTCATAACCTTGAAAGATGTGGGCTATGCAAGTTATGTTTTCATTGTAAGGGGTTTTGTTTTTAAACATAGTCGCAAAAATCCTGGCAAGCAGATTCACCATAGAAGGTAAGCGTTTTTTCACCGCAGATATCAAACTCATCGGAATCAACGTCATACATTCAACACAAGTTTTCTGAGGAACATACATTTGGTTTGTGCTCCCCCGTCTCCTGCGTACACTCGAAATCAAAGAAAAAATATTTTGTTACAGATTTCCTAAACTCTTTTTATTTATTAAATTTCTTTTCTTTGTTTTTTATTTTCTACGATTTGTTTCATAAAACATTTACGATCGTAGGAAACATCTATCGTACAAACCGGATAAAAGTAACTAACGCATCTGTGCACCTTACGAAAAATACGGTTAGGGACCTACATGTTTTACATGATTTAATCTTCTTTTATCAAATTGTAGTTTGCCTAGGATTTAAGGGTATTTTATGATTATCAAAGCATTGCTGATTTTTAAAAAGTCTATTACAATCTATACGTTCTCTTCAAAAATTTGAATTAACATTGTCTGTATATTCGCTCGATTTATATAATTTACACACATATTTACATTTATGAGAAAACTTATTATTATAACACCGAAAACATTTGTTACACAAATACCTAATTTAAAAAAACGCCGTAATACTAGAAATCAAATCAATGATTATTATGATGATAAATAAATCTGTTTCTCTTTGAAGTCCCCACTAAATATAACAGTATTTAAATTATCTTTAGAAATAACAATGAGTTGATAATTAGGAATAGCTATCTAAAACGCTTTAATGCATTCTAATGAAGAACGTTCTTTTTTAAAGTTTCATTTACAAAAATATTAACTCGAGATTGCAATACCTTTAATATCGCATTAAAAAATAGTTTCAGGTGTTTAGTGATCTCTGCGACTAAATGGTATTGTAATAGATACATTTAAATCATTAGATTTAATAACGATTCTTAATAAGTCGTTATCGTTAATATTTTCACATACGTTATTTAAAATATGTTCACAAATTCTATTAAAAACTGGTAAAATATCTAATAATTGTCTAACCCTAACAGCCTCTAACAGTGTAATCATTAATTTTAACATTATTCTGTCTTCTAAATTAAAGGGTTCATCGTTCTTTTAGGTTTGCTGGGTAAACAGATTATCCTCATCTAGGCCTAGGCCTATATCTTTATTTTCATCGCGCTATTAATCCAAATAAACTTCTTCATATTGATTTAACCAATTGTAATGTTTGTCGGAATTTGGCATCATCCCCTTTGTTTCCTCCTCTGCGCGTTGTACCATCATCTTTATTTCCTCAGCTTCTTTTCTCTTTCCGCCATCATTATTTTTCATCCGTACCATTACCGTAAACAGCTTCACCATTTAAGTTCTTGTAACGTCTATTCAATTTCATGGGCTTGTTATAACATATCATACCACTGCTCAATTTTAGGGTTAATCCCTTTTTAGCTCGGAATATATTTTCCATTCCAGGTGTAATACGGTATATATTTTCACTATTATAATTTTTATTTACTACCATTATTGTATATATCATTTTTACTACTATTATTAAAAATACCCCCGTATTTAAAAAGTTTAACATATCGTTCATGTGCCCGCATATCTATCGGCTTTTCGCTACTCATCAGACGTAATGTTAATGCGCTTCACTCGTTGGTTGATTTCAATCAGACGTCATACATACAAGCGCATGTTTCGATCTTTTCATTATACATCATTATTCGTCAGACTTCAACGTTTCAGGGCCTGTCATTAGAAAACCCCGCTATGCGTCATCAGTTTGAAAAACCCGCTATGCGTCATTAGTCAACTTATTAATCAGCTTATCCATTTTGGAACACTCAAAAGATCATCAAATGTAAGTTATTATCACTATTATTTAACGTTGAGACATTCTCAACAACAGTTCTTTTCAGAACTACTGAGATAGACGAGACATACATATATTTCACACATGTCATCCTTGACAAAATGTTTTTGAATAGAAAAAAAAAGTTGCTACAAGACTTGATGCTATCCCCAGCGAAACGTTGATAATAGAGGAGTCTCTGTAATCCTATTGTGTTCAGTATACAATTGATCGAAATTGTTCTGAAAATAAATAAATACGTCAATAGGCCTAAATAAAATAAATAAATATTATATATAAAATATACAAAGAGAAACAAATTGCAGTTTGAATTTATTAATCAATGATTGTTAACACGAAAAAGAAAACCCTTACCTCTCCTCCTTTCAAATTATTCCATTCCAAAAATTCCGTCTCCACGAATTTGTTTACGCTCTGTATTACTTGATCAATCAAATCAGTTCTGTTTCTATCTTTACATAACACAGCTAACTTCGCTCCAAACACAAAAACCATAATTATACGGCCCCAGTTTATGATATTATCACTAAACATCTCTGTTACAACGTCTTTTAAAAACGTCTCAATATTCTCATTTGAATCAAGCAATACTTTTCTTGTCAAATTATAAAGATGTTTAGCGTACGCTTTATACATCTTTTCGCAATATTTGAAAGAAGTAAAGTTCGTATCCTCTATATATTCCATATCATTGCCCAGTTGTTGAGAAATTGTTCTGAAAAAAAAAATAAATAGGCCTAAATAAAATAAATAAATATTATATATAAAATATAGAGAGAGAAACAAATTGCAAATTGAATTTATTAATCAATGATTGTTAACACGAAAAAAAAGTGATTTACCCATCCTCCTTTTAAATTATTGATTTCACTCAAACGTCATACGTACCAGCGCATGTTTCGATCTTTTCATTATACGTCATTATTCGTCAGACTTCAACGTGACTTGGCCTGTCATTAGAAAACCCCGCTATGCGTCATCAGTTTGAAAACCCCGCTATGCGTCATCAGTCAACTTATCAGTCCACTTATCATTTTTTGGAACACTCGTGAGATCATGTAAGTTATTATCATTATTATTTAACGTTGAATCATTCTCAGCAACAACAGTTCTTTTCAGAACTACTTAGATATGCGAGACATACTTTTATACATATCATTCTTGCCAAATGTGTTTTGTTTCTATCTTTACATAACCCAGCTAACTTCGCTCCAAACACAAAAACCATAATTATACGTCCCCAGTTTATGATATTATCACTAAACATCTTTTGTAAAACGTCTTTAAAAAAACGTCTCAACATTCTCATTTGTATCAAGCGATATTTCTCTTGTCAAATTATAAAGACGTTCATCGCACGCTTTATACATCTTTTCGCAATATTTGAAAAAGTTACAGTTCATATCCCCTATATATTCCATATCATTGCTTAGTTTATATGCTACAAACGCTGAATTAATTTCTCGTGCAATTCTTTCAGTTTCCATGCTTATATTTTTTTCTCGAATAACGCTATTTCTTCAAAATATATATACCTAAAACGAATACTAAAATTATATGAACTCACTTACGGTTATACCAGTATTATCATAATCATTATTAATATTTTTGTCATCATCATTATTTTTATTATTATTCTCGTTTTGATCCGGACTATTCAAAAAACAAACAAGTCATCGCTCTCAACCAATGAAAATCGTTCTTTACATGAACCAATCAAATTAATTATATTCTTGTTTACATTCTACCGGGATATTCAAGTCACCATACCCGCACATGACGTCATTCAAAAAAATAATCAAGTCACCGTTATCACTCTCAGCCAATGAAAATCGTGCTTTACATGAACCAATCAAATTCAGCCTTTCCACACTACGTCATCATACCCTCATTATACAATTTATTATACCAGCCTAATTATATTGATAAACAATTGTCAATCATAAAAATATCCTCATAAATATATCATATCCATTGTTCTATTGTTACGTCATGTTTAAATAAACAGTTTCATATCCAATAAACAGCCTCAAGTGGTCAACACAACTACTAAGAACTGCACCCCAAATTGATGATGAAACTAGGTTCCACTGGGACTTTGAGGGCTCAATTCTTTCATACCCCACAGCGACTGGTTTTGTCCGGCGGGTACCACTTGCAGGTACACACACCTCTGTGCGATCTGCCGCTCCCCGCACCCTCAGCCTCTCTGCAGCGAAGCTCAACAAACTTTTAGTCACGAGGAAAGTGACTCTGCATGAAATGCAATCAATGGACGGTCTACTTAACTACGCTTGTAGTCTTGTTCTACCGGGTCATCCCATGCGTTTCTACGCGTTTGATTAACATTTTATCATTGGCAAACATCCGTCACACCTTACTCGTTACACTGGAAAGTTGGCGTCTTTGTTAAGTGGGTATGCCCCACCTTGTATTTGGATCCAATTATTCACTTTATAAAATTCGAGTTTGATACCGTTTGAGCAGGCACTCGCAGTACCATTCACCGATTTTTAGGGGGAGGGGTTGGGGTGTCAGTGGAGCATAGCTCCTGACTCTTTCCTCACCTTGTTTCTTTTTGTCTGGGTGGTGACATTTCCTTGTAGTCAGGTCTTTAGCGCATGCACCCAGGTTGTTAGTAATTAATTAATTGATTTGATGCTTAATTTGTTAAATTAACGTTTTACCACTCTTCATGGACGATTTATATTGTAATCGCCATTGAAGTATTTATGTATTGATCACGTGTCAGGTGTATGTCGAATGTAACAGTCTGAACTTATATAGTCATTCTCTATATCTATCTTATATATTTATACTCTTTATATTTAATCTTTAGGGGCAGCCTTATGTTCCCATTCTATAAAATGTTTAGCTAATATAATGACATCAGTGGGTGGCTGCCCCATTACACGTTTTTGAGTTATCTATATATTAAATTGTTTTTCGTCATTGAATAAAATGACAATTTCCATCCAATTCGGTGTTTGCTTTCTTTGTTTAGTCCTGTACTCGCGTCCTGCGGCATAAATCTACTTTCTACTTGTGATTTGGATGTACTTTTTTTTGGGTAAATAATTTTATAATTAGAATTTGACAAAAAAAGAAAATTTTAATTTTAATTTTTTTAGACATATTTTTAGTACTGATCTAAATTTTAAAAGAATTAATATATTGAATATTAGATACGGTATTTAGAAATCTTCTTTCTACTTCTGATTTGGATTAATTTTATTTTTGTAAATAATTTTATATTTATTATACATACAAGTAATAATAAATACCAATTAATATAATGCATTTTTTACATTTACAAATTAAATGATAATAATTGATAGCAGATAATATTTTTATATATAATAAGAATGATAATTTATGACTAATTGTGCCTGTTTGTGATTTTTTTTACTTTTTTGAATATTTTGTATTATCCAATACGATTGCAATAAAGTTAATTATGAATTATGAATTATAATCTATTTCATACAAATTATGAAACATCCTTATTCTGATGTTAGAAATGTTTTAATATATTTTTAATACCAAAATTTTCACAATTTGTATCTTTTATCCTTAGATTAGCATTGTTACAGCTATTAGCTACTTTTGACATTCTTTTATTCATTATACCTGAAAAGAAAATTAATATCTGGTATTAGTATCGACCTGCAGAGTTATTTTCATATTTTTAAATGGTATTTTTTTAATCTTTAGAATGAACTTGCAATTCACAAGAAGAAGATATTGGGAGTTGAACATTGGCTCAAGAAGCATATTGAAAAATGAACTCCCAATGTATGTTACACTAAACCAAATTTAATTCTTACATTGACTTTGAAAATATTAAAACCATTGGGCCTGCATAGGATCTCAACCTCCTCCCCCCAATCTGACACACACACACACACACGCACACCCACACACACACACACACTTGTTTTCTCTTTTTCTTCAAATTCTCTATTGATGATACTACTAACAAATGATACTATATTATAACATTAACAAAGGTGCCAGATAAATGACTTTTTTAAATAAAAATAAAATGTGATAGAATTTCATTGAACAAAAATTCAATTAGAAAAAAAAATAAATATATGTTAATGTGTAACCAAACCAACACGGAAATCCAGGAGATACCACAAATACTCCTACATGCAACTACCAGTCACAACATCGATTTATGCCACTAACTTTTTCCTGTTGACGATACCTTACTGGAAACAAATTTTTTCGGAATATAATTAATCCAGATTCAAAAGTGCAATGTAGAGTAGTTATCAGCTTGAGAGAAATAAATCAATCAATAATTAGTACAAGACAGGTTTTCATACGACAGGTTTTCATGCATCAGGGACGTATGCAGGGGGGAGCCGTGGTAGCCGCGGCTCCCCCCCCCCCCTTTGTACACAGTGTTAAAATGTTAAAGCTTATTCTTGAGCCAATACAAATTCTTTCCTGGGATCACTCAAAATGAATACTTCTAAACATGTAAATATTCATCAGTACACATTTTACATATGCCTAATAGAACACATAGGCCTAAGCGTGATTTAAAAAAATCTTAAATCCATAAATCTCAGGCCAGGTCTTTTAAGATAGAAATGCGATACTGTGGTTCAATTTCGTTTTTTTCCTTTTGCAAGTTTCTTTAAATGTTTGTTTAATAATACTACTACTAATAGTAATAATAATAATAACAATGATGATGATGACGATAGTAATAATTGATATTAATATTAATAACAATAAAAAGTGAAGAAAATTGTGATTTGTTGATCATAATATAGTAGTTATATAGTTAAAGCTTAGTAAGTTATAATTAGGCCTAAGTTGTCCTGGATATTAAGTAGATCCCTGATAAAAGATCATGAGAAATTTGTTGGCGTTTCATTTTGACTATAATGGTAATGTGATGATGATGAATTTTACTATATAAAAGTGTCATTTCCGGCCATCTCGAGAGGTACTATTTCCTCAAATTTTCTCACCTCAGCCCCAGCCATGGTTGGGCTGAGGTGGTTGTGAAATCACGTTTTTGAAGTAGGCCTATGTAAAGTACGTACTCAAAGACAATGTTTTTAAACTTTGTTTTCTATGGGATACACACATATATTAATAAGATCTCTATGGTTGTCAAAAATCGCTGATAAAAGATCATGAGAATTGTTTTTGGCGCTTCATTTTGACTAACGGTGATGTGATGATGATGAATTTCACTAAAAGTGTCATTTCTGGCCATCTAGAGGTACTATTTCCTCAAATTTTCTCACCTCAGCTCCAAACATTGTGGGGCTGAGGTGGGTGTCGACTCACAAAATGCCCTCCCCCTTCACATTTCAAAACAGATCTGTGCCCTTCCCTGGGTATGACATTAAACTCCATCGAGTCGGCTCCTGATGTATGTCTTAGTGACTGCTGTTTGTTTTTAGGATGTGATCTGGTTTGTCATGTACATTTTTCGTGATTATGACTATTCTGGATAAAGAATGTTTTGAGCAGAGGTGGATTCAGGCCCCCCCCCCCTTCATTTTTTTAAGGAAAAAAAAGAAAAATATATTCAAATTGAAGTGCGAGAGTATATTCAAATTGAAGTGCGAGAGTGTAATTTCCGGCCATCTAGAGATGCCCTAATCATAAATTTTCAGTGGGTGATTCCTCGGTCTGTGAAAGTCCCTCCCTTGTTCACCTCTCTTTCGAATTTCTGGATCTGCCACTTTTATTATATAATTATTTTTGCGCTTATTTATAATGCGTCTATTGCAAATTTCACTTTATCCTCTCAAACAATCCTAAGAACATTCAGAGTGCGCTACTTCACAGGGGGATTTTCCCCCTTGACCCCGCCGGGGTCATACGTAATTCGCATAACGGCTCCCCCCCCCCCTTTCAAAATCCTGGCTACGTCCCTGTCATGCATAACTTTTTTAATAACCAGGTAGCCTACCTAATTATTTTATTTATTTTAAATTATTTTTTATACATCTAATCAGTAACTATAAAACTTTTGAATTATATAGTGGCATTTTAATATAGTCAGATTAAAAGCTTGTCATGGACTTTGCAATATTTTTTGCTAAATTATATGTAGCAGATTATTACTCTGTACCTATTTTAGAATACTTTATCTGGACTATAATAATATATGCAGTTATTCTTCAAACCTTTGTCTTGTAGGATGCCCCTATACTGTTGCTGACGGGGCCAACAGGGGCTGGTAAGACCGCCACTGTACAGACACTGTACAGCCAACAATTATTTTGAGAATGGCAGATGATATATATCGATTTTAATTGGTATTTAAATGTGAAATTGCCATAATTTTTTTAATAGAAAGTAAAAAAGTATTTACACATGTGTACCAGAATATTAATGTCACTCCATGTCAAAAGCTGATTGGACAAATAAGTAGCCTGCAATTATTTTGAGAACGTTACATTATGTAAATTGAAATTGGTATTGAAATGTAAAATTGCAGTTATTTTTATTAGAATGTAAAAATTATTATATATAGAAATATAATAAGGCTCTGAAGATTAATTTCTATGATATAAAGACGTTACTTGATTAGCTTACTTTGTATATAATTTTGTTAATTATTAGCTGTCAATTAAACATCAGAACAAGAAAATGTTTTCCTTGTCAAAAAATAATAGAGGCAAAATTATATTTTGATTTTGTAAATATTAAAAATGTAAATCTATTTACATGATAGTAGTAGTTTAGATCTGTATGATAATGTACTGTAGAAATCCGATGTTTGAATTAATGAGTTTTATTCAATATTTGAGGCATGTTGTGGCAAAATGGTTAATGCACAGACCAGTATTTAGTAAAGGAGCTATAAAATATGGTAGCTCAAAAAATTGCCTAAAAATCAAATTTTTTTTTCACTATAGTTTAATGTCTTACTAATCATGTCCCAAAGTATTAGTTCTGAAAGTGATCAACAAATCATTTATTTAATGTTATTTAGATAGTTAATTCTATTAAACAATATATGTACAAATAACTTTGGAAGGCAATTACTTAAAATCATGTTTATCCGGACTCTAAGAGTGCTGTAATTTCACTTTCCAATAACTTAGGCTTGAAATGTCCAATTTCAATGAATGACCCCTCATTTTAAAGATCACATACTCAGGTATCTGAAAATACTAATAACTTGAATTTCAATTTTTGCTACAACTTAGCCATTTTGCCACAACGTGCCTCATTTTATCATGTTTGAGCACAAGCATATTTATCTGTGTTAAACTGATTTCAAAATTTTTTTTCCCTGCCAGATTTTGGGGATTTTGCGGGTCAAAGGTATCAATCACAAGCCACACTGTTTTGTGATTTTATCACAAGAGCGAACAAATATCAATCTCTGCAACTATTTGGAGAGAAATCATTCAAGAAGAAAGTTATTGTTATTGAAGTAAGTGTTTAAATGGAGGAAGATATTTTATTGAAGATTTTATGTCATTAAACAGTGAATTTACATTTTAGTGCATTAAAGTAAAAAATACCCCAGGTGTACAACCATCCATTGACATTTCATAAACTTATAATGTGCTTTGTCTTGGAAATATTTTCTTAATAAACATACATTAAAATGCATTTATATATTTTTGTTTTCCTATCCCTTCCTTTTTAAATCAAAATTTTGTTATCAAATTGGATTTGAAATATATTAAGCATCAAAATAAACAAGGGAATTATTCAACCTTTTTAAATGTCTCCCTCTAGAAAATGATATACATATTATCTGTTAGTTCATATTGGTTTTCAGCCTCTTGTTGCAGTTTAGTATGATAACAGTTTTGTTGTAGCATTCATTTGACCACTATTGACTATTTTATGCAGTATCATGCTTCTGTTGATAACAATGGTGCCCTCATTGTTACATATTGATAACAAGGATCTTTAATATAATATTACAAGATAATATCCTGCACGTTTTTTGCACCAAATCCTGTAACAACACAGTGTAGTGTGCCCTCTTGCAATTACAATTACTTTTCAACTTTGACCTCAATGATCTTTAACTAAGATAGCCTATCTTGCGTTTTCTACATGGGAATTTTCTAACAACTATCATAACACCCTGTCTCAAAAACAATTACTTTTTATGCTTCATTTTACACAAGGCCGATGCTTCTATTTGTAATGCGTAAAATCGTGGAGAGCGCTATCTTGTTATTATAAGATCTCTGATTTATAACAAAGGCGCCCTCATTGTTATGTATTAACTCATGTTTGAGTTTCTGTGTATTGGAATCCATTCCATAAAAAAATAAATTTGCATTCCTGTGAAGTGGATTCAATGTAAGAAAAAAAATTAAAATAGAAGTGAAATATATTTTTGTCATTCAAATTAGGCAAAATTTTAACTAAACCAATAAAACATATATTCGCATGATGAGGAATCAGTGTTAATTTTCTTAATATTTTTCGACGGTGGCCCATAATTAAGGAGGTGCATCCCACCTTACCCATAAAGAACACAATTCACATAATTAACTATCAAAATATTCCAAGTACTGCATCTACACTTTTTTTTGGTTAGATTAAAAATGATAATTGATATACTGTACATACTAATACCTATTATTAAACAAGATGAAAACGCTCCATCACAACATGATAATTAATATAGAATAAGTAATTCTAATAGCGTAGATATTCTCAGTAGCTGGTCTAGTATTGTCCTACCAAAACGGATTGAGTTGTTGGTGTTGATTACAAGTTTTTCATTTCTGAGAGTTGCCATATATAATTATGATAATGCAAAATTGTTTGCACAGTTGAGATAAATAGTCCATTGATTACAAATTTTATGAAAGATTTTAATGCTTTAGTGTTCTTTCATCAGGGCTCGTTTTAAAGTTGAAATTAATATTCTTTTCCATTTGGTACTTTGCCATTTTCATTCTGATTGATTGCCATTTTATTTATTGCCATTCTGATTTAACCACTTATGTGTATGTATGATATCCTCACTTTAAAACATCCCGGCTTTATATATTTACAAAATTGAAATCCAATTCGGTTTTATGTACACAAATGAAAGTTGTCTCTAATTACTTAGCAAAGAAATTTCTTTACCTGGAATCCTTGATAATTGAACCAAAAGGATGCAAGATGATAAAAAAAAAAAACCATACATCTTTGAAATACAACAAAAGATTCAAATGGAAACATGTTTCAAAGTTCAACATCCTATAATCAGTACACTACAACAGAAAACTTAAAATAAAAACCAAGCCTGTTTCTTCTAGACTATATGTAATTAACTGTTATGCTTGCATACGTTGTATGCATGCTAATTATAAGTTGAATATTAACGAGTTCAAGTTTACATGTCGCATTACTTATAATATGCAGTAGTGTATTTCAATCTTGTTGCTATAATTTCCATTGATGCAAATGAGTAAACACCATTGGAAAACTAATTATTTTTTAATTTCTTTGTGCTCATAGCAGTGTAGTAATCTTTTTGTATAAATACAGAAAAAATATCTAAATTGGATACAATCACAAAAATGTAACTCTATCTTTATTTTTAAAGACACATTTCTAGACATAGTATAAGCTAAATCATTTTTGTGGATGCTGAATTATAGTTAGCTTCTATTGCATTACTTATATATTCAGTAGAGTATTTCAATCAGTTGCTATAATTTTTATTGATGCAAATGAGTAAACACCGACAGAAATTTTGTTTCCATTTCTATGTGCTCAATACAGTGTAGTAATCTTTTGAATAAATACAGAAAAATATTTATTTTTTTTAAAATTAGATACAATCACAAAAAATTAATTTTATTTTTTAAATAAATATTTCCAGACATAGTATAAGCTACATAATTATAATAGCTTCTGTATATTTTATATGCCTGCATTCTGTTCCACGTCTGATAAAAGAGGGCCTTTATTTATGAAATAACTAATGTGAATGTCTCTTTCAGTTTTAATCCAGTGGCTCCAACAAGCATGTGCAAAGTGCTGACAAGTATTGACAAGTATAGCAACATTTGAGACAACAAAGGTATATCTTGTGGCTCCACAAGCTATATAAATAGATTGATGTTTTCGAGTACCATCCAATAAAATCAACACATAATGTTTGGTTTGGTAAACAATCCTCTGATAAGTTAAACGTATACCCTTTGTCCACAATAAATCCCCATTGTAGAGAAAAATAAATTGGACCTACTGTTAAAACATAAAATTAATTACCTCCCTTAACATCAGATAAAGACACAGTCCCAGGGTTTGTTTATGCTGAAAATTGAGATAGAGACGGTTATCATCTGTAATAGTCTGATTAACAAGATAAGGAGTGTGTTAGCCTGTGACAGCCTTCGCAGACAATGGCTACTTGTGGTTGATAATGGGTTGATACAGTACCCTGAACAAGCTCCAAAATGGCGGAAGATTACATGAAGCTAACAATACCTTTCGTGTAACAGACAATATACAAACAATAAAACCTATAAAAATAATAGATCTTTATGCTGGTATTAGGCTAAACTTCATTTTGTTGTGTTGAGAACAAAAATCTAACCTTTTCTTTACTGATTCTTTTCAATTGTATCACTGAAATGCATCTGTCAATGTGTCTGATCTGTTAATAAAGAATTTCCAAAGGTAAAATCTTACAAGGGGCCTAATTATTGAGATATAGTCTAATAAAAATAAATTCTTAATTTGATTCCTTTTCAACAATTCAATTGTTTGTAAAAATTAATAGATTTGGGCATTTTGATTAAAGAAAATACTCTACTGCACTGTGAAATACCATTGTTAACAAGACCAGTTTAGCTCAGTTGACATACTATCAAAATGGTATTGAAGCCTGTCTGTTAAATTTTAATACATAGCAGCTCATAATTGCATATCTCCAATTTGCTGGACAGAACATTCCTATTTCATTTTAGTCATTTATTTGTCTCAAAACATAATATAAAGGGGAAAAACAATAAGGTTTGGTAGCAGGTAAGTTAAAATGCACAAAGTTTCATTTTGTGTTCATGTTCGTTTTTGTCTGAAACTTAAATCATTTGGAATTTGTTGATTTTTTAAAATTTCATCTTTTAAAGGGAAGTTGTCAATTCCAAGTGCCTTGTAAGTCTACTATTGATGCTTTATCAGCTGCCAGTGCTGGGGATACCTTCATCTGCAATATTCATCAAATGTGTATAATAGAATTAGTATATTCTAAAAGCATTGTGTGTTTATTTTTTCTACAGATACAAGTACTTTAAAGTCTTTCTTTGATGGGAGCAGAAAGTGTGACTCCACTCTAGCAAGAAAATCTTTTAAAAGTACAAAAAGCAAAAATACAAAGCATAAAAGAATGTCTAAATGGAGAACTAAACAAACAGAGGATGAAAAAGAAGGGAAGGATCTAGTGGCAATAGGGGGCAGGAATACGTCCATGTTTCTATTTAGAGCACTGGGGAAAATCCTTTACTGTAAAAGTGAGTAGTTGTTAATAAGTATTCTGTGTAAATTGCACATATTAGATGTCATATTATCTACGAGTACAAATTTAAGAACTCATCATAGAAGAATTATTTTTAATAAGAACATTAAATACCCAGTTTAAAACCATTTATTGAAAATTGCCAAAGAAAGATATTTTTCCAAAATATACATTAATGTATACTGTAAATACATAATATTATCCCTGTATATTTAAAAAAAAATGAAAATAAATAAAATAAATCCAAGTTCTAAATTAATATATTTTTATTTTTGTTTTCTATAATATTTTCATTGACATTTGCATCACATCATCACATACAGTAATAAGCAATTATATACCCGGTACCATATGCTAGATGAGAATTGATTGTCTGCCCTCTCTTTCCACAGGCGCGAGTTGTAGTTATAGGTCTAAACACCAGGTGCGAAAAAAAAATTATATGTATTATCTACGTATTAGTTTACTCTAAAACTGATTAAATGAGCCAATGAAAAAAATTGTAATAATTTAAATTGAAATTGTAATAATTTCCCCTAGATCACTTTTCAAACATTTTGAGCAAGGCCTGACCATGCCCACTTTGCTTTCTTCAGGGACATCGGCACACTATCATGGATCTTGGTACCCTCATCGGGCAAATCCTTGTGCCGCCCCTGCTAAAAACACTATCCTAGGATTCATCGCGGTGCACGAAACATACTGTACAAGTTGTTTTTACATTTCGCACATAAAACAAAAAAACATCAAGAAAAAAAGTGCACTACTGAAAAATTAGTGCACAGTTTAGGATAGGCGAATAACATTGGCAGTTAGTGATGATGTCACAATTGACTTGTAAATGGAATTATTGCACAATGATTGAACTATAACAATTTGCTTTATAACTCAATCATCTTCAAATTTTTGTTTGCATAGAATTTATGAATTCTCTAAATGTATCTCTTCAGCCAAGACTAAGGTGATTTTCTTGAAATTGTTCATGTTTGTTTTTACTCATATGCTGTGCAAATAAATGCCATTGCTTTGAAGTGTAGGTGATTATAGGTTGCTTGTACCTTTGTCATATTAAATATGTTTATTTTGCACAGGGTTCGCAAAACAAACAGTTCAGTAATCAAATTATGTATTTCTAAATTGGTATCTATTTATATACATGTGTATACATGTTTACCATGTAGGCATGACCATTTTTTTTTTCTTTTGATGTAGGAGTTAAACCGAAGATTGATGCAGATAAGCAACATATACCACCTCATTTGCAACGTCATGACAGAGATAACTTGAAGTTTAACCCAGAGGTAAATATTTGTTTACCGTAGTTTCTAAATTTTGTGAAGGCCTTCCTAAATGTTGATCCCTTTTAATAATGAAAAATGTTTAAAAATTTGCAAATTGTTTTGATTGTGTGAAGCCTGGTGGCTATGTTTACCAGTTAGCCTCCGTATTCCAAATAGCATTGTGGTCATTAGTACTATCGTTATTTATTTAATTTAATTTATTCAACCAACAATAACAATTTACAACACAAATTATAATACCACATAACACAATGGGGCTTTTAGTATAAACATCTCAACTAGTGATAATTATAAATGTTAATATTTTAGAAAAAAATAAAAAATTACAAAATTACAAATGACAAAATACACCCAGGATCGAAATTAGTAATTGCAACAATAATTACCAAAAAATAAATACCCCCAAAAAACTGTACCTATTTCCTTTTGTACAATACATTTTTTTCTTGTACTCTTACCATAACAACAGCTAAAAAAATCACACAAAAATTAAATTTGACCATTATATATAATACCTTGGGATTGAAAATGATCCACTCGAGTGGATGATGTAGTACGAGGAAGTGAGTATCTAAGTGATGCAGATCTAATTTCTTCTAATTTTTCAGTAAGTAGGAAATATAAAAAAAAAAACATTTTACTTTTATTTTACGATTTATTAGTACTCTACTAAATGTTTTGCATACATAATTGAAAAATAATATGAAAATGTTATTTAGTATCGAACATTATGGTTTATTTTCTACTGTAATGGTTTTATGAATTGTCAGTTACAAGCAATGTTGAACAAAACATATTTGTGATTGTTATAAAATTATGGTTAAAATAAAATGTTGAAAAATGAAACAGACATGTATATTTATGAACGTTTATTTAATATAGTATATTAAATATGATTCTATAATTTTAATAAATATCAATAAATATCATAAGTAATTCTGACTCCACTCTTCCTAGCATCGTAGTATTTTATCAGAGTATAGCAGTTGTATAGCAACAAGAGGTTTAATACATTGTAACTCATCCAGGAGTCGACACAATACAGCTACAAGTGGCATGGGATGGAAACCTCTACATAAGCCACAATGGTGGCAGGTTGCCAAACAGGTAGACACACTTGTACCTTGTAAAGTTTATGATAATGATTGTAATGATACTGATATGTAAACAATTAATTGTGTAATTTGGACTTACTTATCTATGGGTGCATTGTCCTTATGGTTTTATTTTGCGAGAAAAGTTTGGACGTGATTGTATTTGGCACTGTTTTCTGTTGTTTTTCCAGTGCCGTGAGAATACGTTATCAGCGAAAGCATTATTTATTGGTCATTGCTGGACACCAGTAGCATTACACACACAACTATTACCATATTTAAGCCGCATTAAATCGCCATTGAATAACAAAGGTATACCATCACAACTTTATCAGTTAATATATATTTATAAAATATATTTATAAATTATATTGATATGATTAATTATGCTTATAACAAGGATTTATAGATCAATAAAAATATATATAATTTATTAAACCAATAGACTAGTTGTTTTTTTTTAATATTTCTAAATTTTTTTGATACTGATATAAGTTTAAACTCAACATCCTAAACATATCATATTGTCAGGCTACTTTAGCAGTATGCCTATATTTAATGCTTGAATAATTTTTATATTTAAAAAAAATGAATTCAGATTAAAAAAAAATAATTGATATCAGTACTTACCCTCTTATGTGAATAAAGATTTTATAGATAAAATATATGTATTACCTAACCATGTTTAACTGAATAATTAGTGTATGATTGTTGAATGTTTGAATGAATTTATTGTTTTTAGTCATTGTATTTTTCACTAGGTCAAATTTCCCTTCTTCAATAACTGAATAGCTTTTCAACATCAACAAGGTCAGTAAACAAGGCTTCTATAAAAGCACTGTAAAATAATGTTAATAATTATATAATAGGTTCTAACAAACAAAAAGTGAGAATATCAACACTTACGAAACAAATGTTATAAATCATACTCATTGTTATAGCATTAATTTTCAAGTTATCAATGTAAGTTCAATATACTGATTGTATGTAATTGTAGATAATCCACTTAGATGTTGTGAATTTTTGCTTGCTCACTTTAAGGTTCTATTTTTGAATGATTTTTTTAAATATAAAATTATAAATTATTCCATAAGTTGATATTTATATTAGCTACTATCCAGCAATTTCTAACCTATACATCCAGCAGATAGGAAGAAATATATTTTCATCATTGTATAAATAAACCTGTACCATAAAACTGATTGGTATATTTTGCTGCTTTTACAGGGCAAGGGTTGAAAGATTGAATGAAAGAGATGTTGAAACCATGGAAGGGGATGATTCCTGCTCTCAGATTTCTACAGTTTACAATGATTGTAATGATATGGACAGCACTCTGAAGTCGAGTTTATATGATAATGATATACACATTGGAGATTTTGATGATGATAACAACATAGATGATTTTTATGAAGATGATGATTGGTGAAAGATATTTTAATGAGCTTAACAGAAATCGAAGGAAGATATTGAAGAAAATATATATTATTATTTCCATTCGGAATGCTTGTAGAAATTTGTCAGAAAATTATGAATTTTAAAGCCCTGCTTTTTGGAGACAAAATATATGTTGTACCTATTAATTTTCTATGGCCTTTTTCTGCACCTCTTTTCCTCCAGTTTTTTAATATTAAAGACAGGCTCAGGAGGGGAAAAAATGTTGATATGTTTTACAACTAATTTTCTAAGACACAAAAAATGTGTTTAATGAAATACGGTTAATGAGATACAGACCATGAATATTCAAAAATTGGTTAAAAGGGGCATAACAACCCATTTTTTCCAACTTGTTTTCTTTCAAGGCCTGGCTTTAATCTGTATCTTAGCTGTTGCCGATTATTTAGGCTATTTAGTGTCTTTGAAAGTACATATGTACAACAAATATAATATCCAGAGCCTGGCTTTTAAGAAACACCTTATATTTATCTACAAGTATAAATTTCATACTACAAAGACATTCAGTTGTGAGCTTCCTGTTTTTTTGTTTTTGTTTTTTTTTTTTTTTTATTGTTATTAAACGATAATAACTTAAATCTTCTTTACTTACTTTAAGTTATGGTTGTGTTATTTTTCACAAGTCACAACATTTATGAGCCCAATCACACATATATCGACTTAGGGCCACCTTAAAACGACCATTCCGTTTACATATAGTTTTTTGAGTCTTAGGATTGCATTGCAAATGTTCACACTTCATATTTGCGCCGGTCGATGAATTGAGGACACGAAATTCGAGGCATATCGCCTTAATTTGCCTCTTTACTTGATCGGCTGTAGAATCAAAACATTTCTCTGCCATCCTCACACTTGCCTTCCTATACACCACAGTATTTTTAAAACTCCCATCCATTTGCTGTTGTATTTCCCTCTATTCATACAGCTAAAAAAGACACCCCACCTGAGCGCCTTACCATCTACTCCCCGTTGAACATTTTTTTTCTGTTCAATTTTGTGTGAAAAAATTTACCGCTACCAAGAATAGCTTAGCAGCCCAGGTTCAGTTTACGTTCAGATATGAAAATGAGTTGATCCAGGTTTCGCATTGCGTGACCATGGTCAACTTTAAATCGGAAAAAAATTGGGTAGCCTGTGGGCAGTTTTAAAAATTATTGATTGTCCACACTTAAAGAAATGTAGCCAAGATGAGGTCCAGTAACGATTAAGGGTGATTGGTCTGTATGACCATGGTATTTTGAAACAGGTTCATAGCAGATCACTGAAGTTAAAGATGTACTATCAGTCAAAACAAAGTAAAAACACATCAAAAATATAAAAGAAAAATAATAGCTCATTGAATAGAATCATATAAATTATAAATTAATAATAATAATAAATAATAATAATAAATTAATTTATTCAAATGGCCCCGAAAAAATGGCCTGGTAAGTGTGTCCCAAATGACAGGTAGGAAAAAATGGCTCCCAATGAATTTATTTTATTTTATTTGCTCAAAATGCTATAGCAACACTGGTAAGAGAAATGTGCCCTCACCCCTAAATATACAGATAAATGCATGATCTTTTCTTTTCAGTTGACTAGGTAATTTAGTGAAGAAATGAATATACAAGTCCCAGGCAAGTGTATAAGGGAACCTTTAATTCATAACTCGTAATTCAATTTTTAGTCTAATTTTCTGCAAAAGCAAAAAATTAGAATTTTCTACTTGATTTAGATAAAAGCTAAGCCCATACAGACAAAAAATTTCAACTGAAGAAAAAATGCATCCTAGTTTCTTAATCATTATAAATCTTACACTATAGTGAAGAAAATAATGTAAACTATCATTAACCGTTCACACCAGAGTTCACAGATTTGTGGTTGATGAGTTAAGTCAAGAGGGAGTAGGTTGAGTAATACATAAGGTGGAATTTAGCCTTTTTCCTGTTCAAAACCTAAGCAATTAACTTGTGGTGTGTATAGAAGTGGTCAGGTTGACTACTGTATATTTCAAGATTCAAAATAACTTTATTGCCACCTTTTAAGTATTAACTTTTAATATTTAAAAATATTAAAATTTGAAATGCACAAGAAATGTATATTTGTCCCAGTGCATACACGGAAATGTCATGAACACAAAGACTGATATACCTAGTGGCGGCGCGGGTGGTGGGGGGAGGGGGAAAGATTAAGCCCCCTCCGCCCCTGAACAGTAACAATTTGCTATACAAATAATAATACATCACATGATGTAAATAAACACCTCCACTAGTAATCATTTCTTAGAGAAAAATATTATATGACAAAATAAAAAATATTTATGGAAAAGGTAATTACAACGGATGCCAGTCAATTCGAGCGGATGTCAGTTCGAGCGGATGCCAGTTCGAACGGATGCCAGTTCTAGCGGATGCATTTAGTGCGAATTATAACAAGGGCGAATTTATCGTCGCCGTATTCTTGTATTTGTTTTAAATGCAAAAAATGCTCTGATTACTAAGGTTCTGAAAAGTTTTTAGTACTTTTTGATAATTACTCCATGTTTGAATTACAGTCTTGGCAACTCCAACTACCAAGATGGCCGCTAACAAGTTAAAACTATAATAGAATTGCGCACTTTTCAGCTAAAAGAAGAAAGTATGTTTTACTGGAGTGCACGAGAAGCACACACACAAGACGAGTGACCATTATTTTTTTCACGGTAAACAAAGTGGGGTGGCTAGCCACCCTATTCAGCACCCCCCCCCCCTTCCCCAGATCCGCCACTGGTTGGGGCTCTGTATTTAAAAAAGCATATATTATATTTGTAATTAAGTTATGCTACTCACTTATCTATTCTGGAACTGTTGTGTGTCCCCCTTCCTTTCCCTTTGAAAATGTCAAATTTTTAGCTCAAATTATATTTGTAATTGAGTTATGCTACTCACTTATCTATTCTGGAATTGTTGTGTACCCCCTTCCCCTTTGAAAATGTCAAATTTTTAGCTCAAAAATAGGAAATTTTGAAGTAATTCGTATATAACTCGCACAGGTTGTTGTTCGCACAAGTGGATCTTCTTCCGCTCAAACCAGCATCCGCTCGAAAAAAATTCCGCTCGAATCCGCTCGAACTGGCCTTCGCTCGAATTGACTGGTTCCATTACGGATATAATATATTTAAAAAAAAGCATGTACAAATTTTATTTTATTTTTGCTACAAGACGTATCTTGTAACCCAACGGCTAAAAGGAAAATTACATAAGATAAAAATTTGACCATTATAGTATACCTTTTGGCCTTGAGATTGGAAGGCAACACATTTTTTATGTTATTATTGTTATTATTCACTTCATTCATCTTCCCGATCTTATTTCAAGATGTTATTTGTCAAACAGAAATAAGTAATGATAATGTTTAACCTCGACTTGCATCAAATCTATCTTGAGTTTTACACTCGAGTGATGATGATGTACGAGGTAGTGAGTATTTAAGTGATGTAGATCTAATTTCTTCTAATTTTTCAGTGACAAATATTTTAAAAAAAACGAAAAAAAAGGGAAAAAAAACATTTTACTTTTATTTTACGATTTATAAGTACTCAACTAAATATTTTTTTCTACATAATTAATAATATTAAAACATAATTTAGTATAGAAAATTATGTTTTATTTTATTACTATTATTATTATAAATTGTCAATTACAAGCAATGTGGAACACAAACATGTTTGATTATTATAAAGTCATGGTGATACTAAATTATGAAAGATGAAACCAGGCATGTATGGTTATGCAGGTTTATGTTATATAGTATATATTATTTATGATTCTATAATGTAATCGTTTGAGTATATAACAGATGAATATCTATAAATATCGTAAGTAATTCTGACTGCACTCTTTCTAGCATCGTAGTATTTTATCAGAGTATAGCAGTTGCATATAGCAACAAGAGGTTTAATACATTTTGACTTATCCAGGAGTCAACACAATACGCTACATGCAGCATGGGATGGAAACCTCTTTATAAGCCACAACGGTGGCAAGTATATAAGTGACTGTAATGATACTGATATGTAAACAAGAAAATTGTGTAATTTGGACTTGGTATGTTGAAACAGGTTCATAGCAGATCACTGAAGTTAAAGATGTACTATCATTCAAAACAAAGAACAAACACATCAAAAATATAAAAGAAATATAAAAGAAAAATAATAGCTCATTGAATAGAATCAAATAAATTATAAATTAATAATAATAATAATAATAATAATAATAATAATAATAATAATAATAATAAATTAATTTATTCAAATGGCCCCGAAAAAATGGCCCGGTAAATGTGTCCCAAATGACAGGTAGGAAACAATGGCTCCCAATGAATTTATTTTATTTTATTTGCTCAAAGTTCTATAGCAACGCTGGCAGGAGAAATGTGCCCTCACCCCTATTTTGACACAAAATTTCTAAACTTTCAGTGCATGTGTCACTCGTCTTTTCTGTTGTGCTAAGGACTGTCGTGTCAAGGGCTGTAGCCATAAAGGGCCCGGGAATTTGCTGTTTTTCCATTGTATACACCAATTTTAATGATGTTCTGTTATTGTTATTGTCAGCATTGTTTTTATTTTAGTATTTTGCATTTTGGCATTGAAAAAAAAAATCAAAAATTAGACCTATGAACGAAAAGCAATATTGCTATGAAATTTAAGAAAAGGTATATTTACAGTATATTTATTTATAGAAAATAATGTTGCATACTAAAACTATCAGGAATAAACATACAGATAAACGCATGATCTTTTATTTTCAGTTGACTAGGTAATTTTGTGAAGAAATGAATATATAAGTCCCAGGCAAGTGTATAAGGGAACCTTTAATTCATAACTCATAATTCAATTTTTAGTCTAATTTTCTGCAAAAGCAAAAAATTAGAATTTTCTACTTGATTTAGATAAAAGCTAAGCCCATACAGACAAAATATTTCAACTGAAGAAAAATGCATCCTAGTTTCTTAATCAATCATTATAAATCTTACACTAAAGTGAAGAAAATAATGTAAACTATCATTAACCGTTCACACCAGAGTTCACAGATTTATGGTAGCTGAGTTAAGTCAAGAGGGAGTAGGTTGAGTAATACTTAAGGTGGAATTTAGCCTTTTTCCTGTTCAAAACCTAAGCAATTAACTTGTGGTGTGTGAAGAAGTGGTCAGGTTGACTACTGTATATTTCAAGAT